CAGAGTCAAATGCAGCAGGTGGGCGTCATCTGCAGCTTTTAGAGTGACTGGGCGTTGGTAGACTTGGTGGGGCTTTTAGATGCTTTATGTAATAGTTCATCTGGCCTTCTGACTCAAGTGTAATTGCATAAATCTTTTCAAATCTTTTCCAGACCTTAGTAGTGGATATAAATTACTACTGGAATCATATATGTCATATAGACTGCTCCACCAAAAATGAAGTCAATGGAGAGCATTGCCTCATCTTGTCATGAACTTTGGTTCCCTCTACAGGTCAAGGGAATATAAATGAACTGTGGCATGCCTGTTGTTTCTTCCACTCTTTTTAGTTGATGGAGAATGCTGTGCACACATTTGAGCTCCTGCTTCAGTCTGCCTTAAAGGATAAACCTGACAAACAGGCCTCAGTCATGGAGAAAGCCAAGCTACGTGTTCTCAAGGTTGGCTTTGTCCACATTTACAAAGTGTATACATTAAGCAGTACACCGTCTTGACAATAGAATAATTCTAATAAATGTGACATAATAATCATGATGGAAACTTTTGCTTTCCACTTTAGCAATTTGACTATGACAGCAGCACAATAAGGAAGAAGATTTTCCAGGAGGCCCTGGTTGACATCACTCTGCCAGCCATCAAGAGAAACCTGGCGCCTGCCTGCAAAACTGTAAGCACTATTCAGTTTTTTTGGAAACTTATTCTTGAACATTTTATAGAATACATTATGTAGAGTTATTATTGCAAACTCTGTTTCTCTGATTAAATTAACGACTGGGAATGGAAATTGTTAAGAATTTAATAATTCTGGTTCCGGGTTAGGTTTTGATTCATCTTAATTCATTAACCATTAATGGTTTCTTTAAGAGATTAATATTTGAAAAAAATATATATAAAATTTCATTGGCAGTTGATGACATCATTTCAATAATAAATACATTTAAAACAAGTCTTTGTTAAACTTTTTAGAGGTGACATAGATCAAATACTTAAAGGCACAATATGTAAGAATTTTTTTATTAAAATATCCAAAAACCACTAGAACAGTGTTATATATTTTGCTGACTTGTGTACTTACATTATCCCAAATGTTTCGAAGAATGTTTAAATCCAGAGAAATAAGCAATTTTAACTAGTGACACGGACCTTGTATATAGTGTCATTGTGTCGCCTGCCAATGACGTCATATCCCCCCAATTTCCGGTTTTGTTTTGTAGAAAACATGGAAAAACCAAAGACGCTTTAATATG